ACCAAGTTGTGCGAGGAGAGGAAGGTGCAAGAAGAGAATGCAGGAGCTGGGAGCCGCGCACCCTTTTATACTGTGTCCCAGTGGCCTGAGGGGGCTGAAAAAGCCTGTGGAGAGGAAGCACGTTGAGCAGCAGTAATTTTGGCTTGCCCAAGCCCTGCTCTAGATGAAAGACGCTGTTCTTTGGGGTGATGTGTTAGCCTTCCTTTTCATCCCAGGTAAGAGCAACATGACTTTTTCACGAGTCATTAGGCTTCCTCCGTTGACCCCTGCTCCCTTGAGGTGTCATGCCCCTTGTGTGGAAAGAGTCCCAGGCCATGTCTTTGCTGACCTCCATTGCGGACATGGCCCCATTTAGTGAGGCCTTGCACTGTGATACAAGGATTGGCCTTGCCCTGTGGAACAGGGATGGGGCGCCTGGCAAGGTCACTGTGTGGAATGGGGCTGAGGCTGACCCAGCGAAGCACCAGTCCCTTGAGGAGCAGAGAAGCCCTCAGAGCACAGCCCACACTCTCTAGATTGTTTGTTCCCCGGAGATATGTTGAACGACTCTGAGGACCCTCTGATGTCCAGGAGTGGTCAGAAGATAATGGCCAAGCAAGCACGTGCMAMACCCTGTTGTGTGCGGGGCTGTGAGCCCTGAGGAGGCTGTTGCTGGAGGTGGCTTTCTGTTGAGCCTCAGGCTTGGTGCTTTCCTGCCAGTGAAGTGGAAGCCCCTAGAGTTGAGTGAGTGGGTCCTGTGTGGAGAGACCCAAGTGTTCTCCTTTGGGAAGCACATGCCCCTTGCCTTCCCAGGCTCGGCCTTTGCTTTTAGTCAATGGAGTAACAGCAAGAGCTCAGTGAACCTTTGGCGTGTACTTGAGGCAAATGCAGGTTAGAAACTTGAAAGTGTGGCAGGACCAAGTGGCTGTGCTTGCTTCAGCACATTCCTCTGCAGGACGTGCCGTGCCTGCATTGCTCTGTGTGCGTTGTGCAGGTCMGTGTTGCGGAGGGTCTTAGAGTAGCACATGGAGGACCTTCTAATTGCAAGGTGGTGTTAGAGCGTCTTGGTGCTGACTCACTCATGAGGCAACAGTGTGTCGAGACCTTGGGGGAAATGTCAGCTGACCCTCACTGCACTTCATTCCCGTGCTAACATGAGCGGCGTTGGGGATAATGGTGCCAGCTGTTTAGAAGACTCACCAGAAGACTGCTCTGGGTTCATCCCTTTTTTCCCCGCTTTTTGCCTATTTCTTTTTGTTCCATGCTTCCTGTACTAATATAGTGTTCTTCCTCCAATGAGATGCAGATCAGCTTTGTTGAGCCTCTGACCAGTATGTGATGGCCTACTAGGTTCCTTCGAATCCATGTTGTGCAGCTAGAGGAGACTGTTACTGTAGGTTGCCAGCCAACTCCACAGTGCATTTATGTCCATTCCTTGCCTTGGTGCTTTCTTACACTCCTCGAGCTTGAAATCAACTGTAGTGTGTTTTTTTGCTTCTGGAAAAGAGCCATGTATTCTCCTTTGGGTAGGACACGTCCATTACCTTACCAGACTTGACCTTTCATGTTAGTGACCTAAATAAAAGAAGAGCTCAGGAAGGCATTAGCAAGCACTCCAAGAGTCTGCTAAGAGGTGCCTGAACATGCGCCAGGACCAAGTGGCTTGCTTTGCTTCAGCACATTCTTCTTTATGAAATCAGGTAGCTGTGTGTGGCTTGTCTATGTAATTTACCCCGAGGTTCTTGCTTGTTTTGCTCTGGTTAGGGATGGATTAACCCATTCTGGAGCTATCTGTTTTGCTCTGTTGGAAAGAAAGAGCTCACCACGACTGTGTTTTATGGGAGATGGTGTTAGTATTGAGCCTTTAAACATCAGTGGCAATGCCAAGCTTTGGTTGTTTAGGCATCCAACATATCTGTGCATAGCCTCCCCTGAGTATATTTGCTGTCCCTTTTTCCTTTTTGATTGAAGAACAATGTTACTGTAGCATGTTGTATGGAAGAGCTCATAATGAGGTCAGTAAGGACATTTTCACTTTCACCTATTCCTCATGTTTACAGGATTGATAGAAATTGTTGGAAAAACTAAAGGATTTCACATTCCTTGATTGTAGACTCTTCCCATTCCTTATTTTCTTTTGCTTCAGCATCTTATAGCTCATCCTTTTTTATTAATATTTCTGGAAATAAAATTTTGAATTTGCAGTGCCGGCAGTTTAATCTCAGTGTCCCTGTTTTTCCTCTCCTCACATATATTGCTCTTGTTAGTAATGGCAGGTGTTTAACGTGGCCTCTCTGCCGCCCAGTGGTAATATATTGTAATTGCCCTTGAGTCTGTGTTAAGCCTTGAACAAAGGCAGCCGCCACCACTTCAGCAGCGTGACCCATGCCGGAATACTTGTCAAGGATTGCCTTAAGGTTGTCCCTGTTATCTGCAAGGAATTCTCATTCATTCTCTTTGAAATTATTGCCCAATCCACTTTTTTGGACTGACTTGCTGGATAGGCTCAAGGGGCAATCCTAGGCTACAAGCCCTTTATCATTAGCTAGAGCATGGAGAGTCCAATCTACTTGCACTGTTAATCGCTGTCCAACCTCACGATGCAAGATAGCATKCAAGAGCTGTTTTGTATTGCCTTAATTCAGACTGTAATAACTTAGTGGCAGTCTCTAATTTCTTTTTATTTTATTTTTTTAAGTACTACTTTTATGTTTGGATTTTTTTCACTAGATTTCTTAAGTACCCTGGTGTCCACGGAGTGAACAATGACCCTTCCTTCTGGCCCTGGCGTTTTCCATGAAGATGCCTGTGTTAATGTCCTGTTGATGGAAAGTTCTAGCAAATAGAGAACCGGGCATATTCAGAAAATCTGGATTTGCTTGTGCTTTCTCTTGTATTAAAGAGTAAGGGTAAGGAAATGCTAAAATATTGTTCTTCATCTCTTTCTCTTCCTGGGGTAATTGTTTAGGAAGCAAAGAGTAGAAGGGAGCCATAGGGTTAGTAGGTATTTGGTATTTTTCTGACTTACCTTTAATATGCTTTACTTGATCTTTCAAATTTTCCTGACAGTCTCTCAAACTACTAACTTGAGATTCTGTCTTTCTTTTGGAGGGTTCCTTACACTAATCAAAAAATTCATCCCCATAATCTTATGCTATTTTAGATCTGATGAAGATGCCCCTTAAGTTCTCTATTACTGTSTAAAGAGGTCTGCAGAAAGTCCTCCAACATGCTATGTCGGAGTCCATTTTGGGGGTGCTGAGATTTCCTTTATATCTGGAGAGTCTGGAAGGGAGACTTCCTTTAAGTCTCTCTCTCAGGAAGACAAAGCAATGTCAGAAGGAACAAGTGCTGCCTTAATATCAGCCTGAACTCTCCACCAATGATCTGATTATTGAGCCTCAATAGAACCAGAGTCTTCAGGGGAAAAAAGACAAGACACATAAAGGTCCTTGTGGTCACAGTATCTAATCAGAGCCCACCATTTTGGTCAGGGTCAAAGCCATTGAGAGCGTGACCCAGGGAGGCTCCTGCTGGAGCTGGGAACAGCAAGGAAAGGAAGAGCATAACTGGAAATGAAGGAATAGACCTCTGCCACATGCTCCTGCATTCAAATTACATCAGTCATCACATGTGTGGTTCATGAGTGGTTCAGAGCACCTGCATATGGTTTTAGCATTGTCCTGAGGATAGGTCATTCATTTTGCATTCATACGTTATTTATAACTGCAACCAGACTTTCCTGACCTACCTCTCCTTAATCTTAGAATCACTAGAATTACAATTAGCTTTTCCTTTTCTAGATTATAATTAGTTTCTGTACTGGCCTATATTAAAGGTTCAGATTCAGGATTCCAAGTGTGCCACAGGAGCCTACCAGTGACCTTCAGCTTAAACTCTGGTAGGGTTTTCAAAAGGTTCCTTACTTCTCCAAAGGGTGGTGTGGGGGAGGAGAGTGGGTAGGGGGCATGAGGGAGAAGTCTGTGGTCCTCCCAGGAGAAACTGGGTGAATCTGAGTCACAGCACTACCCKGTGTTGTGGAACAACTGGAATCCAATTTAGGTTCAGGTCAGAGCAGAAGCAGTTTATAGGAGAGAATAGAGAGCAGCCAAGTGACAGCCTCTGCTGATAYGAACTCTGCAAAGCTCTGTGAGGGGTTAAGTGTTTTATTTACACACCTGGTATGTCTTAAAAAAAATAGCTTGTGCTGCTACCGTTCTGGACTGAGATAGGAGTTTTAGGATCTTAAATGAGAAAGGGAGAAGAAAAGGTTTTGTTGAGGTATTCATTGTCTTTTCTGCTATTCTGCTGTCTGTGTTTTTGTGCTTTTTTTCCCTCATTAAAGACGT